CTTCCCCAGGGTGGCTGTGCTGTATCAGCATCTGTCTCATGTCATGTGCTCAGGCCTGATGCAGTGACAGAAGCAGTGGGTGGAGCACCGGCTACAGCTAAAGTAGCTCTGCTGTCTACTCTGAGAAATGTAGCTCTTGCACTGCTGCTTCCTGGATTTCTAATCCTTTAGGGCTTTGATCCTGCCCCCTCTCTCTCACCTCAACCTCTAATGTTCTGAGTAGGTAACTGGCACTCGCAGCAATAATATGTACCTCCAACCTTAACTGAATGTTAATGGCCGTTTTTGCATGGGCTCACGTGCATCTTACACACAAATACACTGTGCTAAAAGAACACTATTAAGGTTGCAAAGCTGGGCACTTAAAAAGTTAGGTACTGACAACCTTGACTCAATCCCCTCATGCATACACATTCTGACATAATCTTTAACTCCTATGTCTCTTTCAGTGAGCAAAATTCATGATGTTCATTTTATATGCAGGTATTCATTCTTTTATTTTCTCTTCTTTTAATGTCTTGGTACCTTATTTATTGCATTTATTCAAGCCTGGGGATGAAGCAAGATTCATCCATTTCCTCATGGGCTCAATTCATTTTCCTAAGGCCTCTGCAAGGTCAGTGGATAATATTATCACCATGTTACAGGGAGTCCCCCAAATTTGCTCTAATTCTAGTGTTCAATTTGAGATCCCTAGAACCTGTTGTGGCAAATTCAGATTTGAAGGAGGAAGTTTCAAAGGATAAGAGAATTGAAGTTTTGGAACGGTCATCTAAGCTAGGTAGGGGAACAAGGTACCTGAATTGCTCTGAAACACAGATTGAAAATTTTATGGGAGGGATAAGGTAGGGGTGTTCTTGAAGCAACAGTTGGTGGATGCGATACGTGGATTCATATCCTCTTGTAACCTGTGGCACATTGTAGATTTTATTTGTATTTATATAAGCTGCTCTGTGACTAGGTTGTGTGAGAGGGGTTAGAATAGATAGTCTTTTGATCCTTTTGGACATATGGGAACCAGACTTAATGCCTTGAGATGCCAGTTAGAGAGTCAGAGCTCCTCTATTTCAGAGTACTTAACACTTTTCTAGCCCTTTGTATGTTTGAAACACAGCCCCAGCCTACCCTATTTTGCAATCATGAAAGCTCAGTATTTGTGCAAATCTAGTTCTAGGTGTTATGAGCTTGGCAACCAGAAAATGAGAACCCACAGTTTTAATGATCACCTGTCAATATTTTTGTTTAAGTAAACTGCCCATTATCACACAGGGTCTTATGGCAAAGGCAGGGACAGAATCCAGTTCTTAAGGGTGACATTCAGTTGGAGTGAATTTTATCAATGGGTCTTGTGGATATCTAGTAGATAATATTACTCAAAATATACAAGAGAACAAAATTTCAGTGGTACATTAATTCTAGCATTTCCCAAGTTTTCTTCTGCTCCCATCTATCCCTGGACCCTCCAGACTCCTGCTCTTGTCCATCCCTATTTCCTCCCTGTCCCCTCAGCCCCCTCTATGTATTTTGTCTCCTGACTTAAAGTTTCAGCCTCTCCTCTACTTGTTTTCTTTTCTATCTTCTTTTTGAGGTTAAGATTCAGGAATGGTAGCATGGCTGGTGCTTTTTTAAATATCCTACACAGAAATAGAAATAAAACTGCAAATATGCTATCTGGAATAATTTCTCATGTATTCATGAGAAAATTCTTGCTTGCCAGTTATAAATGAGGTCTTGATAATTGTGGGTGGCTTGAGAAAAACAGGTATGATACATGTAGCTTGCCCCAGTATCCTGTGTTTGTCTCTCTATAAAATGCAATCATGAGGGATCATTTAGATAGTAACTCAGATCATTTAAAGTTGATAACAGGGGGAGAACCTTGAGATGACTTTTATACTAAACTATGGTAGAAATGTGCTATACTCATGATACTGATTTCCTCCATTCCCTTACTTGGAGAAGCCATTTGTAATGGAATGTCCTTTGGCATAAAGGTTGCATTTTCAAATAAAAACTTCCTTTGTTTTCAGGTTAAATGAGTTACTGTCTACAGCTAAAAGACATGCCTGATGGCAAGTGCACCTTCCAACATTGTTGCAAAGTAACAATATCAGAAATAAACCAACAATTGGAATATGCTTGGAAGGAAGCATTGCTCCTTCCAAGAATGTGAAAATATACCTGTAATCATTGTTATTACATTAATAATCTTATTTACAATACATTACTCCTTAAAAGGTTTGATTAAGACTTGACTTCCTTCGTGTTAGTAAAAGATTCAGTGGTATGAGTATATGATAAAATTATTAGCTATTAGACTGACCAGCTTTTAAAATACAACTGACTCCTCTTTAAATATATTACTGAAATAGCAGTAGCCACCACAATGTACTGCAAGTCCAGCCCTCAACAACTGATATTTATCTGATTTGTATTCACTTCTGCAACATTTGGGGTGGGTCCTCTTGGGGAGAAACAGACCCATTTCTTCTCTCCTCTCCCATGTATTTCTGAAGCTTCTCTATCAACTCAGGTGCTGCTGCGTTCACTGCAATGTGCCTACAGGACAAAAGTGTCCCTGAGAGGATTGCCACAGTGTGTTGATGTCCTTGGGGTATTGTGAGAAGGCACTGACCTTTAAAAACAGCACTGCTTGGAGCGAATGTTGTTACATTAAAGTAAGGTTTAGAAAATATTGTTGGCTTAGCTCCCAGCTGAGTCTGAGGACTCTGAGTGAACATCCAGAACAGAGTAGGTTTTTAGACAAACATTGCCACTCTGTTCGGAAAAACTCCCATGTTTGAGTGCCAAAGCCAGGTGCTGAGACCCTCTGCAATATGTCAAAAGGAGACCTTTTTCATATCTCCTTGTAAGGATTTTACCCACAGCAATTAAAGCCTAGACTATTATTCAGTAATTTTAGTCATGAAGCAAACATTTCTTCTCTCCTTTCTGGAGCAGTTTCCAGATGGCAGTTCCAATCAGACTCCTTAGAAACATGGCCCAAACATTTATAAGTAATGTTTCATATTTTCAAACACTAACCTGCATCATCCTTGATAATGACAAACAGGTTTTTCCAGCTAATAGGCCTTTAGCATCTTAAGTGTAAGGCATGGCTAAGAGGCAATAAATCATTAATTTCAACAACAAATCTGTGCAAGGAATAGACTTTACACTTCTTCTGGTTTAGGTGGCTGGAAACAGTGCTATAGCCATAACAGAACAGAAGTTCTGGTCTAAGATGGACCTGGATCAATGTGGTATCAGGGTTACTTGATCTAGGCTAGACCAGTAAATCAAACTTCAGTACCAGGTCTGCTTGTAAATCAAATTAGGGAGCTGGCTGCCAGCATCCCAGGCACCTTTGTGGGCTACTGTTAGCTCCTCCTCACAGGGAGCCACCCTGCATTTGGCTATTCCAGCCAAGCGCTCATCTGGCCGTGCTCCCCAGGCTCTCACAGTGATTGACACTGATGATGGAGGAGAGGGGACGGGTACTCTGCCATGCCCAGCTCTCTGGTACTGCACCAGCTTGTAGGGGGCATGAAGGCCCCTGGATTGGTGTGCAGGAGCCCACCCGGGGACTCCCATGCCTCTGTGAGTGGGTGTAGTGACAGGGAGCAGATCAGGCTGGAGATGACTGTCACTGATGCTGACTGCTGACATGGTAGGGAGTGGGGTGCTCAGTGGCACTTGATAATCTCCAGCAGCCTGGTGATGCCATGGGTCATGCTGGGAGGTGTGCTCGAGTGCTCCCAACCTGCTGGCCTCAGCCTCTGTGCTCCTCCTGCCAAAGGGCGAACTTTTGTTCTGTTGACTCTGGATCTAACCTACACTGCTTACCAAAACACACATAGGTTTGAGCGATTCCACCTCCGGCTTTTTTGAATGTCTGTACCTAGCCATGTTTCTGCAGAACCAATTTAGCTGCAGTGTATCCAGGAGGAACAACAGGCCACACTATAATTTTCAAACACTGAACTGTGAAAAAAGATGGCTTGCTCTTTCCAAAAGTGAGGTTTGTACATTTCATGAGTTTAATAATACCTAATAGAAAATGATAGCATTTTAACATTGAACTATGCAGAAATAATAGAACTGACAATCAGATAATGGTAAACACTAAACTAACAAAAATACGCCTCTCCATTGCCCACATCTCCAAATATCCAAATAAAAAATGGAGTAGAGGAGGCAGCATCTATGGCAGAAGCCTACGTAGGCCCCAAGATGGCAAATAGGACAGTGTCAGTAGCTGGGCTATCACTGGTAGTAGTAGCAAGCCTAGAAGTACAATCAGGGGGCACATCTACGTGTGTCCTTCTGGCGCCTTTGTTAGTCCTTTTGGAAGTACTACATGATGGCACAGTAACAGCGCTGTGTGCTCTACACATGGTTATGTTACCTGGGTGATATGTGGAAGGTACACCCTCTCCAATTGAAGGGATTCAGTGGGTGTGTGAACACTGTGGGGAGTGTGGCTGCCTAGCTGTAGGCCAGCTCACCTCCTTTTCCTCCAGAGCAGAGCAGAGCAGAGCAGAGACCAAGTACACCAGTGATATTTAACTATTTCCAGGTTTAATGATACAACATTATATAACACTTGCAACCATGAACTTATGTACATATGTCTATACACACACCCACATTATTTACAAATATAGGTTTATACAGCTCTTATTAACCCTTGACTCAGGCCCAGGCTTAGTCCTCTGTGGCCTTCCGATTAGTCTTCAGCCTCTGCCCCCCTCGACAGGTCCCTCCAGGCAGCAAACAAAGGAGCACTTAATGATAAAACTCAGGTTAATCAACAAAACAATGACAAGAATATCTGGCAGTGATGGGACAATAATTTGACATATACAATCAGATTACATGCTCTTCCCCAGGGTGGCTGTACTGT